AGGATGCAAGAATACCTCAATAAGTGCTCCCAACACACAACGTATATGTAAAGCCACAAAATAATTAATGAAGCACAACCACACAACTAAACACTATGCACAGAACGTAAACAATCCGCCATTTATATCACCAGGCACGTCACAACCAATAGGATTGCAATATATAGAAAGTATAAACTTATTTAATCTTGTTTCTAGTTTGTAGGAATTTTTGATACAAGGAAAACAGCCTATTATTGGCGGAAGATTGCAGTTGTTCATTAAATATTTCAGGTGCGTTGCTGTTTTCACGCCTACGCTGACTCCAGTTATGCAAAGCAAGTCGACACGGCCGGAAGTGTCTACAGCACTTTGGCTTCCGAAAGACTAACTAATAAAGATAAGGTGAGTAAACTCGTCAATGCCGATTGTTTAAACAAAAGCACGGCAAATGTTGCTTCCGCTGATCTGTACGCCAATGGAGACTGATTTTGTTTTGTTCCCTCACCTTCCAGATAGATGAATGGAAAATGAGCCGATCCCAATCCGGATCCACCATGACGATCAACACGATTGGCAATGGAAAAGACGACGTCAGCATATACAATGGCGACGAAAATCACAAAGTACGTCTCATCGGTTACACGGTGCTAATCTTATGTTGCCAACAAATTGAAACTTTCAAGTTTCCATAAAAAGTTGGTGCAAACCTGATGAACTTTGCGGGCTTTTACCCCGTCGTGAAAGCTCCCCGACTATTCGCCAGTTCAAAAGTCCAGACCCTGGTGGCTAAAATTGCAACTATACCTTAAGTAGTAATTTGACACTTGTTTTGTTGACATTCCTGTCACATTTGATTGTGATTTGTTTTGTTCTAATCAAGTTTGGCAAGCTTTTAAAGAAATAGACTTGTTAACACAACAAGTTTGTTTATTTATTGGAGTTGATGACATTTATAACATAAAACAATACTTGCACACTTTTCGATCTGTTTCTATTTCTTTAAAAGCTTGCCAAAGTTGATTAGAACAAAGCAAATCACAATCAGGTTTAAACACAAATGTCAACAACTCAAGTGTCAAATTACTACATGGGCGGAGCGAACGCATCCGGCAAACTTCTGATTGGTCGGTGACAGTGACGTTGAACCGTTGCAGGTTTGGGCAGGCAGTCAAGACAATCTAGATGGCATTTACGACGTGTACGCGCCCACTTCGACGTTGGGGCGGCCGTCCAGGCCGCGCCAAATCGCCCAGCCAGTGGCGGTGCCGCCGCCGCCCGCCAAGGAGAAAAAGAAGAAATCCAAGGGCCAATCCAAGTCCCTGGCCGGGTCCAGAGAAGACCTCTACCATCCGCTGATGAACGGCAAGGTACTTTCGTCCCCTGCGCCCAAATTTCCATTGGTTGACACACGCAATGCTTCCAGGCCAGCAGCGTGTCGGGCACTCTGATGAAGCCTCGACACAGCATGCCCAGACAGATGGGGATGCAGCACGGCCCCCCGCAGCCCGTCTACATTGTGGGGCCGCCCCCTGGGACCTTCCAGGGCACGTTGCCCAACCCGAAGTTCTTCAAGCACCACGGAAACACGTTCTCGCATCGGCCGCGAGGCAAAATGCTGATGCCGGCCCGCCCCATTCCGCCGCCCATGGTGCCGATGATCATCCCCGCCCCTTCCACTCTGAAGAGCAAGAAGAAGCAGCGCGCGCCCCCTATGGAGGAGCCCATCTATATGCCGAGCAACAGGGCGATGAGTCCAGTGGCGGCCTATCAGCCGGTCACGTTCCCCCATGAGGCCTATCTGATGCAGCAGTACGCCACCATGGAGAGTCAGGGTTAGACTGGGATTTCCGTTCTCCCTCTCGGGGTTGCCAAGCTAAACTTTTCCCTCTGGTTGTAGGGAAGCAGCGCCGAAGTCGCGAGAAGTCCATGGAGAAGCCGGGGAAGCTCAGCAAAAAGCTGGCGCAAAGCATGAACGGCCTGGACGACCCGAACCTGCTCAGGGACGACGAGAGTCCCTTCAATTCGGGCATTTACAGGTAGGACTGGCGTTTCGGCCCTCCATCCTCAACCCCGGCTCACTCAGGCATGCAGCACTTCCCTAATTAGCACGTGGTTTTCAGGAAAAAAGGTCACCTTAACGAAAGAGCATTTTCTTATTCCATTAGGCAGGAGCACAGGAGCCGAAGTTACGGCAGTCTGGCCAACTTGAAGTTCGCCACGCCCATCCCCAATGGGGGGCACGACGTAAGTACCGGCAGCCAATCGAAACGGGCGCACGTTTCTCCCACTGTTTCCGTTTCTCCCACTGTTTCAGGACGTCGATCGGGAGGATTTGAAGAAGGAGCGCGAAATCATGCAGATGGTGCAGGATCTCGATCTGTCCGGCGACGAGTTGGAACGATCCGAAGTGCCCAGAGGCATGTACGATCCAAGGGCGATGGGCGTGGCGCCCGTCATAA